AAAATAAAAAATTTATATCTTTATGTTTGAAGCCTGAAATGTGGCAAAAGGTTGAAAAGTTCAAGGGGGCCGAATACTTTCGCAAGGCACTGTATGTACAGGTATAATGTACAGTATAGATAGATAAGACTTAATTGATCCCGAAGGGAAATTGATGTGTATGTATAAATATGTGTGCACCTGAATCTAACAAAACATTACTGTTTTTGATTTCTGTGTGTTGTTTCACTAAAATATCAACATTTTAGCATACAAAAAGCAACATGCATACCTCTTGCCCTGCATCTAGTACACAGAGCTTGGAACACTGCTTCTTGGCATCCATTAGCACATTAAACATGGTGCAAACAGAAGGAGACACTCTGTAATCAGTTGATTTGCTGGCCTTCTGCATCCTGGCATCAAAAGCAGCTTTTGTTCTGAAGAAAATAAAAAGGCCATTTTAAATGGATCTTCTTTTGGGACTAATTAAAAAGATCTCTACCATTCTCTCGAGTGCAACTTAAAAAATGGCAATAACAGAAAAGCAAAAGCAAACTGAGATGAAACCAAAAGAAACAGTGAGTGTTTGTAAAGCAATAACGATTTTTTTAAACTTTATTCCTGGTTAGAGAGGCCATATAAAATGTTTTATAGACCTGATGAGAATAATAAAACTATTAAAATTGAAAACAAATTTGCTATGGTATTTAACAAAATAGTTTTAAACGAACAAAATAGCACTTCTGCTATTTGTGAAATATGCCAATTAATGCCAATTAATGTGTCATAATAAAATCTAACAAAATGTATATATATAATACATGTACAAAGATAAATTTTCTTGACGTAATTTCTCAGTGGAACTACAGTACCATTCATCTCAATGCATTAAGACATTTGTCCCAAACTAGTGATTCCCTCATAGGAGTAATTTGCTGACTGTTTAAGCACTTGCCAATGACGGAATTCAATGAATTATCCTTATATTAGGTTCCACATCACACGAACGTAAGATGTTGAATCACATAAAAGTGAGTCTGAACTGTAGGGTGGATGATTCAAATGCTCAGACCATCACTGGTAAATGATGGCCCATGCCACCCTGGTCTTTTGCACTGGTGAATTGTTATGCTTCATTACAAAACCATAATTATGTAAATATCCCCCTGTCATGTTTCATGGATATTTTCACTCAACCAGTCCATCAAATTGTAATGTTGACCAGTGATTGCAATTTTATGCTGCTTTTAGTCAATGAGCATTGTTTTTTTCAAATTCCAAAAGATAAAGGACATAATCTAGCCATTTGAGGAGTATGAATTTTGGGAGTAGAAATTCTGCATTAGTCTCAGGGAAGCAGTAGTAAACTGTTGTCAGACAAGGTACAAGATTAGCTGGATCATGGCTGAAGAGCTGCTGGACCTCTTTAATGGATTCTACCCTCTGGTACAGATGTTGTAAGCTGATCTTTCAGGGAGCCAATCAGGCAGAAGCTTTACATATATTAAGATGCTTATGGATGATGGTTTCAAAAGTTTCAATAAAGATGTAATTTCTTTTGTAAATTCTATTAACAAGATCCAGCAATCTCACATTATCATGCTTTCAATAATAGAGATTGACTCTGGATTGGTTGCAATAATGCATAAAGCATGAATGACACAACAGTCAGACCCCCCAAAACATGGGCCTTCTATACTGTATAGCAGTGGTTCTCAAACTTTTTAGACCAAGTACCACCCCTGATCAAACCAAAGCATCCAAGTACCACCTACAAGTCATGTTCTCATAGGAACCCCAGAAATTCTCAATGACTAACATGAGCGCGCGTGCGTGCACACACTCACATACACATATAATAAATATTATAATAAAAAACTTTATTGATATAGTGCCTTCAAAAGTGGCTTCTCAAAGCGCTTTACAGAAAAAAAAACAGGAACAACAACAATTACAAATTAACAATAAAAAAGCACCATTTCAGCAAGGGGGGTGAGCCTGTTTAGTTGAGCAAAGCAGATGTGAATTCATTTTTCGAGCCCTGATACAATTCACAACAGAGTCTAACAGATTTTAAATCATCAGGCATTTTCTTGACGGCAAAGGTCTTGCAGTGGATGTTGCAATGCGTCCATTAATTTCTGGAGCAACCTCTCTAATTTGTGCAACTACACCACTGTGTCGGCTTGTCATTGCTCTAGCACCATCTGTACAAACTCTGACGCATTTTATCCAGTCGATGCCATTCTCTCAGATAAATTCATTCAGAAGCTGAAATATGTGCTCTCCTGTAGTTCCTGTTGGTAGCGGCTTACAGAACAGAAAGTCCTCATGGGATGTACCCTCAAACTCGTATCAAACGTAAACGAGCAAATTGGCCAAATCGCCGACATTTACAGACTCATATAATTGCAGTGAAAAGCAACTGCTCATCTTAACGCGCTCTATCAGCGTACTTTTGATATTGTAACGCAACGGGGTTCAGGCGGGTGCCCTTGCCGCATCAAGCCGGCTCTTACACAGTGCCTGTCGGCCGTATGCGTTACACTCTCCCCTCCTTAACTCGCCATCCTCGGCGAAGAGCTATCCCACCCTGCTTCTAACACCAATGTAACTCAATGGCCGACAGGCACTGTGTAAGAGCCGGCTTACCAGAGCGGTGACGTCACCGCCCTTCCCTATTATAGCAGGACCACAGCCACTAGGCTGGGAAGAGATCTCTCTTTAGCTCACCAGGCAGGGTCCCTGTTGAGTGACACGGGAGTCCTGAGTTCGAGCCCCCGACGGTGGGGGGCTGACTTGATGCGGCAAGTGCGCCCACCTGAACTCTGTTGCGTTACAATATCATCCACCATATTAATAATTCTCTGAGTGACTGTGTCTTTCAGAGGGGGCAGCAGGTCGAGCTGTTTAGCAGCTTTTTCTCCACACATAATATGTGTCAGCTCTTTTGCCAACGTTAAATAAGGTTCTTTAAAAATAGCTTGGGGCTTACCTGCTTTAGCAATCCACAAGTTTGCATTTTTCCCCATTTCTGTTTCAGGAGTCCATCTCAGAAGTTAAAAGAAGTTTTTATTTCATGCGCATGAGAGTGAAACACAGAGACGCTCGTGTATTTTTCTCAAATTAACCTAGAACAGTTCTTAAATATTTTTCTGTTATCTATCACGCTTTCCTGTGCTCACAAGATTGCCAGCATTCGTAGCACATATTTATATGTTCTCCTGTGCTTACAACATTGGCACTGTTCTAAAATCATGCACATTCTCCTACCTCCCTATATGCTGGAGACAACTTTTTTTAAATACAATTAGTCACTTTCGTTCGTAGCACGCATTTCTGTGCTTTCCTGTGCTTACAAGATTGGCGGTGTTCCAAAATCACGCACATTCTCCTACCTCCCTATTTGCTGGAGATACCTTTTTTTAAAAACAATTGGTCACTTACGTTTGTAGCACACATTCCTATAGAATGGTGTAGAATTACATTGTAGCTCTTGTGTCCTCTTAAGTATAAGCGCTCGCTGTATCGTAGTACGTAGGCTGCGTATTCGTCACGTATTAAAATAGAAAATATGAAAACCCGTCCCGATTTTTCATTGCACACGACAAAGTTCCAGGGTCATATTGGGTACCACCTGGCGGCTCGTGGTACGCATACCATAGTTTGAGAACCACTGCTGTATAGTATGTACAAAATGGAAAAATCAATGCACCATCTTTATGTTGTAAAAATGTGTGAACAACAGCACAATAAATTAAAATGTTATCTTAAAATATTTAAAAAATTGATTGACACTTTAAAAATATATTTGTTTAGATGTGCTATCATGTGTCATATACTTGAGCTAAACTGGGGTATGGAATTGCTGCAAGCTGATCAATAAGAAAATATCTTATCTAATAGTTTACTTATGTCTTGGCTATAAACTATTTCTAAAGCAAATAGCTACATTTTTGTTTTGAATATATTGTTAATGAAAACTGAATATCCATCAGTTATCAGAAAACCTTTGTTGTCACAACCTAGCAAGTCTTGTGACACCTACATGTACAAATCAGTGACACCAATTAAACTAGACAGCATGTTTTTTTTTTGTGGTAGGTGAGAGAGAACCAGCGCATCAGGAAATGACATCAGGAGATGACATCAAAATACAATTTCCAGGAAACAGCAGACATTACAGTATTTGATTAAAAGCTATTAATTATTTACAAAGTAACAACGTTATTTACAGAATTTCTGACCTTTTAACACAGGCTTCGACCATATCACTGGCCATCAGTTTGAGTCGCTGTTCCAAGTGCTGGGCAAACTCAGGTTCTGGCCAATGGAGGTCAAAGACAAACATTTGCAATGCATCCAGTTTCCAAAATAAATCTTCTGATGTTGCTGATCCATTACTATAAATAGATGACAAATTAATATCAGTATTGAAATGACAAATCTAAGATAAAGACATAGATTTGTTTCTATTTCTTCTATGTTAGGCTGATATTTTTCAATCACCATTGTTTATACAGTGTATATATATATACACACTGTGATATAAAATCATAATATGATAGTTTTGATTAACTGGAGACTCTATTTGTACTTATATCCTGTAAACCAATATTTACAGGACATTACTGAGTGCAGCTGTGAAGTTGTGAAAAGAACCATAATTTGGAGGATCACAGTACATAAAACATAACATTAAAACTTTTTTTAAGATCTTAATGAGACATATACATCTTAATTTTCAACAGTGTTAAAAATACATTCAAAACAACATTGTAGTTTTTAACTTAAAATCATTCTAATAATGTAAAACATATGCCTTTGCATTTGTGAAAATACCGTCAAACTGTGCAGAGTTTAAGAGGTGACTGTGTCCCTACTCCTCTTCAACACATGCCATACATTATATCTATAATCGAAAAGCAGATGGCAGGTCTGTTCCGCATTACATATGATGGAGAATTCCTCCAAGAGCATGGTGTCCTAATACTTTTATTCAGATGTATACAGTACTTACACTTTTGACAACTTTGAAACTGTTGTTGTAAAAGTATTGTGAGATTACCTGAGATTATTTGAATCTTGCACAATATAAATAAGTCGACAAGTGAAATCAGGAAAAAATATATTCTTGTATTTAAAGATTTCAGCTTTTTAATGTTACATATGAAATTATAGTGGTTAGCATATGTTTAATTTGTGGCTCTTAATCAGTGTCCACATTTTCTAAATCCTTTTTATTTAGGTTATACATTTCTCATAAATATTCCATACATGGTTTCTAGGAAAAAAATGAAAAGTCCTGATTACAAACACATTTTAGAAAAAAAATACACACAAGACAGTGGTCACTTAGTTTTGGTGAAATTGTAAAGGTTAGAAAAAGATGCACAAGCAACAAAGTGTACAACAAAAAGCTAAAGTGGAAAAGGCGGACCTTTTGCCTTTAAAAGACTGTTCCCTTCACAAATGGTATACCATATAAATAGTTTGGCAATTTACAATGCAATTAAGTCAGTGTGACAATAACTCCCATTCCGGCTAATTAAAAGAAGGTTCTTCACTCAGCCTTCCCAGCTCTGTGGTCCCTCCTGTGCTTTCCTTTCAAGTAACTTGGCTAACACTGTCTCTTCCTTGTCTTCACTTGGTATTCTCAGAGCAGTGATCCCAGTGGGGTAGGGAGCCTCCAAACACTTTGATACATCACATAACACTTCTCTGAAATCTCATGGGCCCTTACCCTAAAAGACTAATAAATAGTCTCCAAACTGTTTATTTCCTCATAATTATACAGTAAATGGACATCGTTCTGCAGACTTCCTGTGCGGAAACTTTAATTCTAAGTATGTAAATATTTTGGAGCTATTTAACTTGGAACAAATGTACAAATCTCATTACATATTAAAAATGTACAGTATGATAAACCTTACAGCATCATACATACAGTATTTAAAAAGGATTATAAAACTTCACAATTAGAATATATATACACAAAGAAACTTCCTGCCACTTCTGTAGGATGACTTTTAAAAATTATACTTTCACATATATGTGCTTTATGTCCTTTTGCATAAATTAGGCAAAAGGAGGAATATGCAGTACTATGAAGGTTGAAAACTTATTTTACTGAATAATGTTTTCTTAATGTAATTCATTAAATATGGTGAAAAATACAATGAAAAATAGGAGTGCACATTAAAATACCACATTGAAGTGAAACATATAACATCAAGATACTGTAGTACCACCAACAGCAAGTAGCACCACTAAAAAAGGTGTTGTGTAGACTATATTTTTCAAACACATGAAAGTCTACCAAAAGGGTGAATTATTACTATTAAAAATCTTAAAATACAGCTCAAGGGAAGACAGTAAAATGAATTAATTGCCATTGTAGAGCATTTTTCATCCCCAAGCACTAAACATGTAGGAGGGGACATGCTTTATCCACCACTGAAATGTGCAACCACCTGGTGCTACCTTTGAGGCCAAAAACTGCTCAAAATATCTAAGCAGCACAAATTACAATTGTCATTTTTCAGCTACTATAACCTATGGTCAGAGCCTTTTGTTACAAAATAATTGGTAAAAAATAAATAACCTTTTTTCTTATTTTAGCAGAATCATGGCAGACAGCTGTTTAAGGATTACATAGTGTTTTAGCTAGTCAGTCGTGCTCTGCACATGCTCAGCTGTCTCCTTGATATCGTGAGGTTTTTTAGTTTTTGCAGTTCTGTTTGGGCAAATTGCATAGGTGAGGGTTTGAGGGTTTGCTTAGTTTTGTTGTTGATGTCCAAATGTTTCCACACTTAAAGGCAACCACAAAGCGATAAGAATGAATTTCAAGAGACATATGACATGGCAGATATACTGTATCAGGTTCCACGTAATGGGAAACCTTTAAGGTTGTCATGAGAGAACATTATTTCATACAATCCCTCCATGAAAAAGGAATGATGTTAATAGTTATCTGCCTCTGAAAAACAACTTCCAGCCTATAGAAAGCATATAAAACCTTATAATATCCTAAAATTAAAATGTGAATAGAATATCATTTTTGAGAACAAATTAGAAACCTTCTGTTGAAGTTGAAACGAAAACACTTCGAATGGGGACGTTTCATGACTGTGACAGGGCACTGGGAGAGCGTATACTGCCTGAACATGCATGTGGATATAAGGGGGGTGATGTCAGTAGAGTGCAGCTGGCTTCCCTATGCTACGTGTGGAGAGTGATCAGTCCTGATCGACTCAGAGGAGTCTGACCCTAGCGAGCCAGTGAAAGATCAAAGGGTGTCAGCACCAAAGGGTGTCAGCAGCTCATGATTGTGTGCGGGAGAACTGGGCTATGTGATTGGGAAATCCATGTGGCTGTGGAATGATCTACAGTATATGACTGAAGAAGAGACTGTGATGTTTGAGAGAGTAGCAATCTCTGGAATTTCTGTTGGTTTCTGGTTAAAAAAAAGGTGGTTTGAACGTGTGCAGACAATTCTAAATTCTAATTCTACAGTGGAATAAATAAGTACCCGAAGCAATAAAAACATTCCCCAATTGCAAAGCCTCCAGCCTGGATGGATTCAGGATTGAAGTTTATAAATTCCATTGTAAATCCATAGCTCCTTTGTTACTATGTTTATTAGAGAAATCAACAAAGAACAGCATACTCCCAAAATCACTGTACAAAGTGAAAAAACAAATATCTATTTCCTACTCAAAATGGTATGGAGGAGGCAGTCACCACTTAATTTGTCTGTGAAGTTTGTTGAACTTTGATTTGAAAACAGAACCAAAACTATAGCCTGCTACATTAGGTAAACACAGTATTATCCCTTATCAACCCTGATTAGACAGGATTTGTCCCTGATGAGTTTTTGTTCTTTAATGTGTGACAGCTGCTCCACACATATTATAAATGCTGATCATGATAAAAACTCCAGGGCTGCTGTCATATCATAAGATACTATAAAAGATGTCGATCAAGTCAAGTTTCTCCTTTATCACCCTGTTTGACATTTCCCTAGAGCCTCTGGCAATCAGTATAAGAGAGCAGTATTAAAGGTATTAAAGTTTCTAACACAGACCACTATGGTGGCAATGTGCTCCTCTGTCTTTCTGATTTTGTATCTTCCCATCTGTTGAACTTTATTTATTTGGTATGTTATCAGGGTACACTAATAATTGTGAAAGATGGTTTCCGTTCCTAGATTCTTCTATTAATTTCAGAATTTTCCTGCATGTTTTACATCTTCATTTGTTAAGAACTAAGATGAAATTATTGTACCAATAATTATTATTTATAAAATTATTTGTACCAGTACTGGTTACATATGGCAATAAAGTTCAAGTTCAAGTTTAAGTTATGATATTCACCTGAAACTATAAGATGCCTCATACTTCTAAAGCTCATTTGCAAAACCCAAAGAATGCCAAAGGGCTAGATCGTTCTATCTTTTGTCGCTATTATTGGGCTGCAAATGCAAATTTTATTATGAATAGAAGTATGCCTGTATGGTTAGGCATGGAAGCTCAAATCACTACTAAAACCTCTCTCACTGCTCTTCTTTTTTTGTAAACTTGTATCTCTGCATAAGATGGCAAACAAAAGTATTACTCTAAGGAACACTCTGAGAACGCTAAATCAGGTTAAATAAGTGTACAAATTACCCTAAAGGTCAGGTTCTGCTCCAGTTTGTGCCAATCATGCCTTTACTCAACAACATTTATAGAATTGAAGGATAAAGAACTGATTACGATTAAAGTTTTGTATAC